CTTACTAGATAGTATAACGAACATGTGTCTTACCCACTACACATATCTAGCACTAATCATTGTTAGATAGATATCAAGCATGTGTCTTACCCACCACACATGTCTAGCACCAAGCTTTGATAAAAAGACAACAAGCATGTGTCTCATTTAATATACATGTCTAGCACCAACCTTTGCTAGATATGTATAACAAGCATGTGTCTTACACAGAACACAAATCTAACACCAAGCCTAGCTAGATAGGCATCAAGCATGTGTCTCACGCAATACACATGTCTAACACTAACCTTTTCTAGATAGGTATAACAAGCATGTCTTTTACCCATTGCACATGTTTAGCACCAAATCTTACTAAATAGGCATCAAGCATGCGTCTGATGGCAAAGGTCAGACCATGTATCATGATGCTAATAATAAAAATAAAACAAAACACAAATGTAGAATAATAATAATTAAAACTGACCTTTTCACCTATGGTCTCTTCATGGGTTTTTGGATTATATGTAATGCAATAACACATATATGTGATCTAGTCATTACTTTATGGACAAAGAAAAGTTTGATTCCTTGTCCAAATTACAGCAAACAACTCTTTTAACAAACTTCACATCAAGCTTAATTGTTGCAAACCTAAGCTGTCTAATAAATGTTTGTGCAGCCTCTAACAAAAATCCACATGGTGTCCAAACTACACCAAACAACTCTTTTAAGAGACCTCGCACCAAGCCCAATTGTTGCAAACCAAAGCTGTCTAATAAATGTTTGTGCAACCTCTAACAAAAGTTCACATGGTGAGAAATCCTTACAAAAAGGTAGGATTGCCAAACCTTCAACATGCTAGCAAGGATGGTTTTAAACACTATTCCCTTCCTTTCACCCTAGTAAAAAAAGACAAAAGAAAATTAGATTTTTCTCTCACTCACCCAGAAGGGGTGACAATACTACTTACTAGTATTCAATGGTGGCTAATTAAAGTGTGCAAGACACTCTAAAGAATTATTATAAGGGTTTAGAGCTTGAGTTAAAAGCTCACTTTGTAAAAATTTTGTGGAAGCTATTAATTCTACTAATTTTAGCAAAGTTAGGTTAAAAATATTTAATTAGAAAAATCAAGATAATGGATATAGGTCAAGTGGACCGAATCATAATAAATATTTTATATTGTCTATTTCTTTTAACCTTTCTTTACTTGGTGTTCACTAATCTCAACAAATTTTCAAACAATCCATCTCAATTCTTTCAAAAGATTCCAAACTCAAAAGATTTCTTTCAAAGATATTTTTAAGTGTTATTCACCCCATTTAGCACTCTTTTTTGAGACTAACAGCGTCTACCTTGACCCCATGTGACTGATGTATATGGCCTAACAAAAGTCTCGTTAAGAACATTATGCTCCTCTGTGTCTTTAGTCATTTTCTTCATTTTAGGTGACATCTCATCTAGATCAGAGCAAACATTAATCGTGAGAACCCTCTTAAAAACAATCAATGGTAACACAAAATGGTAGTTTCACAATAATCAAGAACAACAAGAAATCAAACCATCTCATATACACAAAAAAATTTAGCCAACAATGACAAACCATTCTTAGTTTGTTCCTAATTCCGTACCAACAAAGGCCACAGCACCTGAGCAGCCTTTTGTACCCTTAAAGCACAATTCAAAACATTGACCTAATTCCATACCAATTTAAATGGAAAACTTAATTTTAATAGAAGAAGAAGAGGAGAAAAAAGATGATGAAGTTGGAGAGATAAAAAAGAGTAGAACAAAAATAAGAATTTAGAGAGGAATTTTTTTTTGTATTTTTTAAAGCAAATTATTAATATTTAGTTTTAAATATTTAAAGATTTATAATTTAATTTCATAAATAAGGTTGTAGTATTTGGCAAGTTAACAGTTTACAAAAACTACACATTGCATCAAGTATAAATTTTTATTTTTAACAAAATTTTATTAGTGATAAGATTTAAATTCTTACCCTCTTAATTACTAATTAAAGCATGAACCATTTTTATATCTTTTAATCATATTTAATATATATTTAATGTTTTTCTTTTTTTAATAAAAATTATTAAAATTGAACCGATTAAATTAAGAATGGGTAGTATCATTGGTCCAATTCTCAATCCGACTTTTCAATCATTAATTAAATTTACAAATTAAAGCATTAAAGAGAAAAGGATGACTTTTCAATCATTGATGTTTTCTTTTGAAAATTAAAAAGAAATTCGTGCCCATTCCTTCAGTGGGAATAAAAAACAATCAATCCTCTTTTTCTTTTTTATAAAATTCAATAAAGCAAAGTTGAAAACTAGATTTTCAAGGCAAAATTTGCCTCATGGGGGACCGGAGCAGCTGGGGAGACGTCAGCTTTCGACCTTATCTTATCTGGTTCTAATGCTGCCAAATTACTTGATAAGAAGCAGCCACGTGTAACAAAAACCCATTTTGTTATTGATTGAGGAAGACAAAATATATAGAAAAAAGAAGAATACTGGGGTAAGGCCAAGGCGACTAATATAGACAAAAATATTATAGGATCGTTTTGTTTCCATATTCACCCTCACAGCCTTGCCAATTTCTCATATGCAAAACGCGAGATTCAGTGAAATCTCTCGACGCGGGAACGTTCAAATCCGTCTATTTATCCAGGTGGACCCCACATCTAGAATTCCTGGTTACTATTATCACCTTGCGTGTCTGTCCTTCTCAGCTGGCTCTGTTTTTTTTGCCTCTGCAACAAACTTTCGTCTCAGAAAAAAAAAAATGGCAGAGAATCGGATGCATGCGGTTCAATATACTAGTTATGGCGGAGGAGCTGCTGGTTTGAAGGTAATTTCCTTTATTCCAATTATGTATTTTATCTTAGTTGCCGGGTTCAAA